ATATCTATCCCGCAACCCTGTTGCAGACAGTTGCATAGAAATTTGGTTCCTCCTCTATCCTGTTGCAATAGATATCCTTAGTTCTTTGTCTTGGCAAATCATCTGTTTCTGTATGTTGAAAAATATCAAAGGACATAACAGGGCAGTGGTCCCTTGGGAACATTAATTTAATTCTTGCCACCTTGCATTTTTGTCACATGGCTAATACTTATCTCCCCACCCCGTTACCTACTCCCTTTCTTATCATGGTCCATACAGTCCAGCTCCATGTTCCTAACTTTCGCAGGGACAGAGCATTCCCTTGTCACTGGCATTCCCCCCATGCCAGTGCACTCCCACTTTATATTATGTGTCCTTCTCTTAATATACCCACTTAAACCCCATTTTACATGTGCCATTCCCTTCCTCACATTGTTTACCTGTTGGCTTCCATTCTTTGTCATTTATCTGGTCTACCATGTTATACTCAGGCAATTTATATCCTTCCTTTCTATAGCATCCTCACCATTCTCTGCTGTTCTACTACTACTACTAATAATAATGTAATTCTGGGGTTGGGATATTGGACCAGCTATATACTGAACTCACACATTTCAAGCCTATTTAAATGGTGGCGAGGTTTTCATGCTGGTCACCTTCAGGCCAGGTGTGCTGCACTTACTGGCTTCTTGCATGGTTACAGTCTCTGGAGCTGACAGGTAGATTCTGAGAGTATGCAATGTATATAGAGATTGGGGCTTTCAGGAATTTTTTTACAGTGCCTCCACGTAGCCAGGGGCCTAGAGTATAAGCGGCTGCATTTATGTGCAAAGATTACTGACCCAATATATAGAGCAAGGGAATTAATTAAAAATAAATAAATAAATACAAGCATGCCGGAAGGCAAGAGTATTTATATATTTTTATTTATTTGGCATTTTATTTCTACCATTGTTAATGCTTGAAAGTATAGCTTACGTTAGCATAATCAAAGAGTTTAAAGTTTTGCTCAGTTTTCATCAGTTTGTGCTCGGAATATTTATTTCATTTTTTTCCCCACAACCCTTGTCACTTAAACTGAGCAAAATGACTAATTCTGTGATTTAATGTTTTGGATAAACTTTTTAAATCATTTTTTCAAAATATTAAAATATATTATATATAAAAATACATCAGTATATTATCAATATCAACATAGTGACATATAAGACTGTTTCTCAAAATATGAAATAATTTTAAATGCTTATTAAAAAATATGAAATCATTTAAAAAGCATATCCAAAAATATTAAATCAGGATGTACATTCTATTCTCTACCCCAAGTGCAAACTCTATATAAACACATATTCAAATGCGGTCTGCTCAGTGTGCAGAACATTGGACCATTTGAGCCTGAAGTTGAAAGAATAACTGTTAATGTGGCAAAGGGGAGGCATAAAAAACTTATCAGTATTCAGTATATGCTGAATAGGTCTTACAGTCAAACATAAGGAAAAATGCAGGGTTACATTTTTGAGGAAAAGTCTCTATAAAGTTAAATAATTATATAGTTATTTAGGCTGTAAAATAGACTTGTATGTCCATGTGTCCATCAGCCTTTCTCACATCTGTTTTTGCTGTTGATCTAAAAGAAGGGAAAGAAAACCTAGTTTGAAGCACTTTCCAATTTTGTAACAAACTCGGAAAATAAGTCCTTCTTGACCTCAGATTAGCAGTCAGATCTCTCGTTGGATTAGGAGGCTCTTACACAACATATTGAATATTATATCCCTGAATATTTCTGCAAAAATTCACCCAGCCGCTGTTTAAACTCAGATAAAACTACCTCTTCAGTCTCGGGGTTAGGATGTGATGGATGACTCTCTAACACTAGTTATTTCGAACATTCAGTTATATCCATTGATGATGAATGTAAGGTTTAAAGCAGTGGTTCCCAATGCAGTCCTCAATGCATTGCTACCAGTCCAGGATTACCTAGTTGTGTCTACAGGGTTTTTTATTTTCTTATAAAAATACCTTAGACACAACTGGGTAATCCCTAAATCCTGGAACAAATAATATCATGTTAAAATTTGAGGAGGGTGTCCAGTAGGTGTCCAGAAGCTGCTTGGAGCCAAGGGATATACACAAACAGTATTGCACATGTGCAGAGAGAAGATGCTTTATCTTTCAAAAGTCACTCACAATGACTAGCAGTTCAAGGTAAGGATTTGCCCCATTTGTCAATCCCTGCCTATCCTGAAGATATTCATAAGACACATTTATATATAACAACAGTACCAGTTAATTTTGCTTCTGTCACCAGCCTTATATTTTGTTCAGAATCCTGGTTGTCAGGGAGCAAACTGATACATCTACAGTATAGTAGTTAACAAATCTGACTTTAGAAAGAAAATTGCTGATCAATGTGGAAGTCCAAGGCAACAAATCTTGCTTGAGGATCTGTCCTTTCTGTAAAGTCACATTGAAGGGTAATTACTGTACAAAATGGAATCCTACATTAAGGAGAGAAGGTCTTACCATGACCGGGCGGCTCCTTTCCTATGGAATAGCCTGTCCACCCCCATCAGACTCTCCCCTAGTCTTCAATCCTTTAAGAAGTGCCTTAAACCCATATCTTTAGGAAAGGTTTATGGCCTCCCAGATAACCTCTACCTTACATACCTGTCTCTTGCTCTCTCCTATAGGGCAGTGCTTTACTCTCTCCTCCAGCTCTGCTTCACTCCCACCCTATTTGATAGATATTTTCTGTCCTAACGTGTCTTATACCCCACCTCCTATAGACTGTAAGCTTGTTTGAGCAGGGTCCTCTTCAACCTATTGTTCCTGTAAGCTTTCTTGTAATTGTCCTATTTATAGTTAAATCCCCCCTCTCATAATAATGTAAAGCGCTACGGAATCTGTTGGCGCTATATAAATAGCAATAATAATAATAATAATAATATTGAAGCCCAAAAATAAAAGAGAGTTTAAAAAGTCTGTGTGACAGTGTAATTTTAGGTTACACGATACATGATTAGTGTTATAGGATAGAGCTGTTTTAGGCATTTTAATGACCGGCGTGATTTGTAAAAGATCAGGGGTTTAAAAGGATTAATAAAAATCATAGATACAAGGAGGTAATTATATTTTAATCAAATTGTGACTTTTATTTATAGAAATCATGCAAAATATCGTTGTGTTTCATTTTTAATTAATTGAGCATAAAACTATTCCTATGCAAGTATGATTAATTAATAAAAAAAACAAAAACAAGTCAAGTTCTAGCTGGGATATTTATTTATAACAAAAAATATTTATCTGTAAAACTTCTAAATTGGCAAAATTTTTGGTTTGCAAAATATACTTTAAACTCAAAATGTTAAATGAAAGGAGCCGGAATTCCTGACAAGCAATATTTACAGTATTCCATAAAAAAACATACATTTATCATACTTTTTCCAGATGTTGCCAAGACACAGATCTAAAAAAACTGCAAATGCATCTATCATACTTTATTAAGGATTATTATTTATATTTCCAAAATGTAAGTGTGCAAGTAATATATGTAACACAGTAGTATTAAAAATGCAACCATATATTTTTGGGGATTGGGAAGTCTAGATTTATTGATATATATATATATATAAATAACTAAACAAACTTTGTTCTTTAGGCTACGACACAATTGCCAGTATGGTATAGTAAAAATCTGTTTCAGAATTTGAAATGACAACAACCATGGGCCTCAATTTAATTATTTTGGATTAAATAATCCCAATCATTTAGAAAAATACTTTTAGAATTGTTTATTTGAGAAATATCAGATAGACTTTAATGTTGACTTCTCTAGTTTAATCATTTGAAAAATTTTTTATAACCGATTGTGGTCATTTAAAAAACATATCCAAAAGAATAAAGTCAAGGCCCATATGTGAGAAAAAATAATTTGGTCTGCACATTTTGGGGAGTACATAGTTGCAATCCCAACCTCTATGAAAATTGTATTATCATTTGTTCACGATTTTGCCATTCTATGCATGATGTTATGCATGCCATTATTGATAAACTGAAAAAATATTAAATATTTTTTCTTAAAGTAATAAAGTGTATACAAAGGGAAAGGGAGGTCAGGACAGACATACATATTTACATATAGGCATACAGTAAATATTTATATATGTTTTTATTTTTATTTTTTTATTTTTTTTTAGTTGTGCATTGCAATATCACAATCTGACAAAGCCCGTACACATATCATGTAACATGCAACATTATACAGTAGCGTACTCAGGACAGGCTAGATGCACATTTTTAAATTTTTGTTGGAACAGAAAACCAGATACATTGGCATCAAAAGTAACAGCTTTGATTATAGGTAATATCATGTTTATACCAGAACCAACTCGTATTCTCAGTAAGTTAGTACAAGGCCAGCAATATCCGTGAGCCTCTGCCGCTTACCAGGTATATTCTATATATTTCTTGTGCAATACATTAATGCAGGTCGATAAGACCTAGACACACATTTTATAACAAATTACGTTGTACAGTAAACTTTTCGTGGCTGGTCAGATATGAATGTACATTTTTAATCAATGTTTCCAAACAGAAACTCAGGTACTTAGTTAGCTATAGAAGTAATGTCGGTATAAGCTGACACATGTGTACATTACAAATCGTTTTTCCTATTGGATAAAAATAAAGATCCCTGTATCCGTAGTTCTCTTGCTACTTGCCCTGTGAAGGCCAGGGCTGTGATATAGTAAAACATAAGAAAGTAAAGGAAAAAAAAAAAGAGAGTTTCAAAGAGTAAGACATGAAATACAAGATGAGAGAAGGAAAAAGAGAGAAAAAGAAGAAGGATAAAAAAAGATCAGGAAAGACAAAGAGTGAAAGGGAAGATAAGAAAAATCAGGGTGTCTAAACACGCGGTGGGGCACCAGAGGGCGGGAGGAAAGAGGGGGGCCAAGGGGCCAGGGAGGAGGGGGACCGAGGCAAATTCATGAAGACCCCCCCCCCCGGCACCTAAGTGCTCAGTGGGCTATATATGTTTATATTAGGGAAATTCAGCTTTGGTATTTTCTATAGAAAAAATACATCTCTTTTCCCCACCTATAATCTTACAATCTCTTGTTTTGTATTTATTGTTATATTTGTGCATGTCATTTGTATAACTGTAAATAGTGCTTATGTGCTATAAAGGGTTAAAATGGAATGTAGGCATCGGGGTATTGGTTTTATCCAGCTTTTACATCAAAGACAATGAAAAAGATGCTATTTTTAAATAATGTAAATCATTTTAGATAGCAGTAAACTCATATCAGCACATTTAACTAGCAGCTCTACACATCTGTTCTTGCAAACACACTCATTATTCATTTGATTTTAGTAAGTAGTCTGAAAAAGGAACAGGCATAGTAGTACTCAAAGTGTTCATTTATTTGAGACAGCAAAAACAGAGTTAAAAAAAGAATGTCATTACAAAATTTAAAATGTATTTCCTTTCTTATGTTAAATACCATACGCTAATTAATTTATAGAATTATTGTATGTAGCAATGTACATTAGGAATGTTTATTTTTTAATTATATATTAGAAATATTTGCACATTAATGGCAAGAAGATGATCCAGAAATTTTGTAATGACCACCAGAAACAGATCATTTTAAGTATCAGGTCAGTATAAAAGCAGCCTCAAAGTTTTACTGTGTTTTTTTAGATTATGTAAACATTGCAGATAAATTGTGATTTTATCATCAGATAATACAACCCCTGCCTTAGGGCATTGGAGCTGTCATTAGTAAAAATAAATAAATACAAAGGCCATTTAACTCTAAAACATACTTAAATAATTAAGTAATTATAAATATTAGCAATTGTGCAAAATATCTGGGGAGAAATTTGAAATTAATATTCACAGTACTTATTCTTCTATAATAGAATAATACTAAAGTAAACAAAAATAATTGTAAAATCTCCATTATATAATTATGTGCTTCTGAAAAAAATGTATTAAAATGTTTTAATAAATTTCTACTTAGAAATTAATTTTCCCCATTTTAATATAATACTTTTACTGATTGGCATACAATGCTAGTTCTGAATTGCTTTGACTGGCATATTTATGTAACTGTATAAATGAATGTGCATCTTGCATTATCATCTATTAATAGTAATTGCCGAAAAATATTTTTTTACTATTTTGTTTATTAATAATTTGAAATAGGAAGTATAATCATTTAAATCCAGATTGAATCCAGAAGCATGCCAGGTTTTTTAGAATATTACTGAGCAGAAAAACAAATTTATCAGATATTGATAGGAAAAAGTGGCAATACTGAAAAATCTTATTTTAAATCAAAATGCACTTTCAGGCAGGCTTCTCAAAAACTAGTTAGACAGGAAGACAGACATAAATGCAGACAGACAGGCAGAAATTAAGGGGCAATGTTCTAAAAGCAGAGCAGTCACCATGGAAACCAAACAAATGTCTTTGATGGTTACATCATATTTAAAACTTTGTCTTAAAATTGCGCTCTAGCATTAGTTTTCTCCTAGGAACATGTTACAGATCTTCCGATTTAGTATTAGTTAATGCATTTATTATGTGCTATATTGCTACTGGAGTTCAGGTAATTAAGCTATTTGTAGGTAACTAAGCTCTTTGTAGCTCTTTGTAGTACGCTCTCACACCAGTAGCATTTTTTTAAATAGTAAATACAGAACCTTTTATTCCTCAACAATTTACCATAGTCATTTCAATGACCTTCATTCAGCTATCTATATCTTTCAAAATAAAGCTTGTACAATACCCCCCATCTCTTGATATTTATCTTCAAGAAAAAAAAAACTAGTTTGAATAATCACACTGCATGCTCTCCAATCTTCCTCTTTCATTCTTCTCTTCTTCGTATACTGAGATTGAGAATGAAACGCTGCACTGCTGAGAAAGTGCCATGAAAATATAACCCAGTGCATTCTAAGAAAATAAATAAGCAAGGCCACCCAAAAATTCAATTAGTGCTAGTGTAGAATGCAGGAAATGACTGGAGATCCGTCAAAGGCTGCCTTAGGCTAGATCCAGGATACGGAACAGTGACAGGAAGACTTGGAGCGGGGAATCAAGCTCAGTGTGAAGATGGCTCTTCTCCAAGTTAAACTGCATGCTAATAGGTTAATACTGATTTCCTGAAACATCTAGCCTGGGTATTACATGCTGGAATTCACATTCAAACCAAGGCAATGACTGATTCTCAGACTTTGCTTTTTTGGTGATGAAATAACACTAGAAAGTTCAAGTCGCATTAGATATTTCGTGTTTTAAGCTTATTAAACATTCAGAGTACAAACTGTGCACATTTCTGGGAGCCACCTGAATAAGCAACGACTTGAGGCTTGAGAAACCCATCTGTATTTTAATATGTCCCCATGAGAAGTTTCTCAACACAGAGAGGGCAGGCAACAGTTAACATTTTGAGTGCTGCCCTGTCTATTTGTGTGTGAGATAAGGGTTAAATAAAGTCTTCTATTTCTTTAATACAATTATGGATAAGTAACAATTCATTTATATTCATTAATGATTTTATGAGGTTATCAAATGAATTCTAATATACTTGGAAATTTGTTTCGAACCGAACTGCAACTCGGCTGAATTCTGGCCGATTGGGTTATGAGAAGAATTTTTAGGTGTTGCAAATAAATAGCTTAGTTTGCCATGATGGACAAGAGGTCTGCCAATTATGTGGTCCGGATCTCCCATTTAATCAAGAGGTAGCACAAAAAAGACGATTGATGGTTAGGGGACAGACAGTATTATTTTATTCACATATTAAGTGAAATGATCAATAGAGGGGAACAGGAAGACCAATAAAAAAACTGTACTTCCAAGCAGGAATCTTCTAGAGCTAGACACTTTGACTTCAGCTATTGAGGGAGACATATCAGCAATGATCCTTGCTGTGATTTTGTTGGAGTGTGAGATAGCCTGGGTTATTGATTCTATTGATTCTAGTGTGAGGCTAGTTTTAGCTTTATGCTGTATCTAGTTAACACCTCCTGCCAAGACCACTTGAAACAACTTTGAGAGATTGGCATGCATTTCATCACTGATCATACTGTGAGACTAGGTTAACAATCTACAGTTGTTAAAAGTTGTTTGCTTGTTTTTGTTTTGTTTTTTTGTTAACAGGGAAATCCAATTTTTATGAGTGTGTTCACTGCAGTGTGTGCAAGCAGTGAAGTACTGGGTAGTACACAATAACACTACAGTAGTACATTCACCAAGCAACAATCCATTTTGTAACACAAATGCCTAGTTTTGCTGAATAAACTTATGTTAGCTCACAGAATCATTTATATACAAAATGTACTGTAATAAGAAAAAGAAACCCACCATCATCATTGTTACTTCCTAATCCCAAGAAAATCATGAGGAAGGGTAGGGAAAGGGGTTGTGTTCCCGAATCAACTATCAGCACTAGTGATGTGGCCTCTAACAATCTATACACCTCTTCCTCGGTCAGGAGAACTGCTGACACACTCCACACTCATTGCCACCACCACTGTTATTAATATGCAGCCTCAGGATAGTGGGATTAGCAGTATGCCCTTTAATCTTGATTCACCACCCTGTAGGCATTTGGATATTTCATAGCCTTTTCATGTCACAATAAATTCAACTGAGGCTTCCAGTGGCACTACAGCTTCGAGCATAACTAGTTCAAGTGCTTACAGCTTCTATGGTTTATTAAGTTCCGAGCAAGGGATCAGTGAAAACAGTGCCCTTGTTGCCCTTTCCTGAGTTACCCCTATTTTTTGTAGCCCCCAGAAGCAACTAAAGGAGAACTCAGCAGAGACTTTCTCAGAAATAAAAAAAAAAGGGATTGGTTTTTAGCACTTGTTATCTAGATCTAGAGGCAGCTTGATGACTGACTGAGGATGTAAGTCTTTTTATCTTGGTCCAACACAGTACAGTGTGGATATAACATAAACAGAAATAAGATACCAGGATTTTATAATATGTCAGCAAACTAAATTGGATGATAGATATTATAAAAATGCACTTCACATTTACTGGAGACTCAGGATGTCTCCTTATATAGCACTTGGAGTGGAAAATTCCCCACTGTGGAATATATGTGCAGAATTCTCTCTCTGGTGTTGGTAGGTATAATCCTCACCGTAGGTATAAAACCAGAAGATAAAATATAGTGCTCACTGTATACATTAACATATAAATAAAAGTAGTAAATGTACTCACATTTGTAAGAGCAAACAATGGTTCTGCTCACTCTTTGTGGGTATATTCCCCACCAAAATATGAACATGTTCCACCAGTAAGAAAATCGAAAAGGTTCAAGAGTTGTTAAATAATGTCAACTTTCCTACAACACTGATATTAAAAAAAAAAATAATAATAATAAAAAATAAAATAAAAATAATATATATATATATATATATACATATATATATATATATATATATATAATATCCAATGTGTTTCACCTATGGTGTAGGCTTATTCAAGTGTATTACATATGCTGGGAACCTTCACTGTTTATATACCCAGGTACAATGTAGGAAAATTAAAAAATAATGGTCACGTGACATCACATGTCATGTGACCATTTTCCAATTAACTTAATTATTTATTAAAAAAGTGGGCAATACATATATAATACGAGGAGGTAGTGGGTGCCTTAAAAACCTTTATTAACTTGAAAATGAGGTGTGTATGAGGATAAATAATTTGGGGACACCAGTATGGTGTAGCAATATGGCGGCTGTGGGCAGTGCCATATACTCAACGCAGTTACAGTCATAAAAATGAGGTTAATACAGTTAGTTACTCTATGTATACTGAGTGAGTGGGACGCAGAAACTGTATTGGAAGTACACAAGCAACGGTAATAAGAGCTGTGCTTACCGGAACTTGCAAATAGAAAGATGGTCGCAGCTCTAAGGGAATGAGGATGACATTGTGACTGGGGTAGATGCATATGCAAAACAAAAATTAAAGAGAAAGTCTAAAAGTAAACGATGTACTTGTATGCTATATAAGATATGAATAAAATCCAAAGACGAGATGAATTAAAAGAGACTTTGTCAAAACAATCAGACACTCTTTACTTAAGAGGTACAGCAGAGAACCCAACTAGTGTCTTCAATGTCTGGTCTTGGTGTTAACGAGGAATCTAATCTTGATAGTATCACGCTTTTACCCAACACTCAAGACATTTGTTAAAAAGGGATATGCATCACTGCAGGCTGGAAAAGAAACCAGGTAAATATGTTTTTTATTTTATTTTTTAATATTTACCTGCTTCTTTTTATGCTTTCCACACCCACTCCATAGGTGGGCACTGATC